CGGATGCGGAAAATCGTCGCCGACTGGTACGTATTTTCTCCAAGGGCGTCATTTCTTTCTCCTTTATCGAGTCCGCTGAATTGAAAAATTATTTGCAGTGGCTGGAGCCACAAGTCAAAGTCCTTTGTCGTGTCACTATCGCAACTGACATCATGAAAGCCTACGAAGATCTCCGCGCAAAGCTAAAGAAGCGACTTGGTGCCTTGTCTTCGAAAATCTCCTTTACGTGTGACCTGTGGACAGCACCCAACATGGATCCTTACATGGCCATTACTGCACACTGGATCGACGAAAACTTTGAAAGTAAGTCGATTTTGTTAGATTTTCGGCGTCTGGGAGGACAACACACCGGAGAGGCAATCAAGGAGGCCTTCATTGTTTCTGTCTACACACAATGGGAATTGCAAGACAAGGTAATGGGGGTCACAGTTGACAATGCTTCTACAAATGAGAAGTTCCTGTCGCTGCTTGCAGAGGAAAAAGGATTCTGCAAGGACAGGCACCTTATGTGCTTTGCTCATGTCCTGCACCTCGCTGCAGAATGCTTTCTGAAGGCGCCTCGTGTTGATCGAGCGCTAGCAAAAATCCGGGGACTTGCAGTTTACCTCGGTGGCTCATCCCAGCGCAAGGAGAAGTTCTCAAACATCTGCCTGGAGAAAAAAATTAAGGACAAAAGATCGCTTAAGCAAGATACCCCAACCAGATGGGGCAGCGCTTACGCCATGGTGGACCGCGCCAGGGATTTGAAGCCCGCCATATCTGCGTACATGAAGGAGGTGCCGGATGAGGTTTTTGAGAAGCTAAGAATGAGGGAAGAAGAGTGGGAATCTCTTGACCAGGTGCACTCAATTCTGGCTCCATTGCATGAGATCACTACCATTTTGGAAGCATCATCATATGCAACTGTTTCTCTCTGCATCCCTCTCATGAATAAACTCATGGACATTCTTGAGCGTGGTGTGGAAAGGGAAGATGACTTCAGTGATGCTTGTGCAGCTGGACTTGAGAAACTGGAGAAATACTACAACAAGACGTCGGAGGAGTACACCATTGCAACAATTCTGGACCCACGTTTCAACCTGAGCTACTATACCGCCGAGGCACAGAACAAGGGCCACGTCAATGAGGCCACGGTTCGCCAAACCATCACGAAGGCGTTTCTGCAGTACAAGGAAAAGTATGATGCAACGAAGGAGAAGACAGGAGCTCACACTGCAGCAACAGCCAGCAACAAGAAGCCGACATCCATACTGGGAGGGCTGTTTCGACAGGCTGGTGCAAAGAGAAAAGACAAAGCAGACAAGCAGCTCGCGGAGTATCTTGCTGAAGAAGGGCCTGAAGTTCCTACGGGAAAAATGGCCACGTTCAAGGAGTGGTGGGTGAGTCACGAAAGGTATTACCCAATCGTGGCCAAGATGGCGAGAGACTATCTCGCAATGCCTGGAACCTCTGCAGACTCGGAGCGCTCGTTTTCATTAGCCCGACAAATGATTACCGATTTCAGGCACAGCTTGAATCCTGAAACGGTTAGGGCTTGTATGTGTTTGAGATCGTGGCATGCTCTGGAGGACTCGGAAGTTCAGAAATGATGAAAGTTTTTGATTCACTGATAGTCAATATTACATCAGAAGGAAGCGCATACGAACATCTATCACAAAATAACCAAAATGGAAAGACACACAACAGCCAGACAACTTTCACTGAAGGGTGCGCGCTGATTCCAGTCTTCCTAGTGCACTGCATGAATGGGGATTAGCATGCAGTTAGTGTCAACGTACAAAAGTCCAGAGCGCAGGCAATAAAAAAAAAACACGGAAAAGGACAATCAGCGTGCGATAAGCGTGCGTTATGTGCTACCCTAAACGGGCAAACAGAAGTTACATACCTGTTGCTGACGTGATATCGATGCAGAGAGGCGGAGTGGAGGGTAGCTTAGTGAAACGAGCCTACAAAGACGAGTTGGGAAAATAAAATTGAGATAGAGTTCGGAGGAGGGGGTCGTTCTTGCAGGGGCACGCAGAGAATTTCGACTGTCGAGCAGGGGGGGAGTAGCCGGCGGGGTGAGGTGTACCGCATAGTGGTTGCTGAAGCTTTTCCGTGCGAAGGGTCGCGCGGAAAATGAGTATGGTTGGGGGATGGGGGAGGGAGGGGGGAGGGATGGGGAAGGCGTGGTGTCACGATACCACGCTGTCAGCAGCACTGGCGGGGTAAGCGACGGCTTGGGAGTGTTGCGCGGGAGCAATAGAAGCAAAAATTCTGGAGCCAATAACCTCCTCATCAGGCAAGTGCACATCAGTTGGCATCGCTGCCAACTGACAGCTGTTTCACAGCTGTGTTGTCGCGTGAATCACGTGGGACCAGTGTGGCCAGCTGTGAGGTGCATGTTCCGCATTGTTCACGGGCAGGAGGGAGTGTATCTGTTTCGTCCTCTTTCGAGCAGTGGTGCAGTCGATTACGAAGAAATCGGGGGTACAGTAAATATGTGACGGGGTTGAAAACAAAACAACAGTAGGCAGGTGAAAGCAGTAAAAAGTGACGGGTTGTGGAAAGAAAAAAAAACAGTGGCATTAGCAAGCAGACTACACGTCAGTAGGCAGCATTCCCCCCACAATTGCCAGCCGTATTCCGCGTAAACAGCGACTAAATGACACGCACGGGTGAGAAGTGAATAACGACCAATACAGTCAGCTTAGCTGTCTATGTTGTTGTTGTAAAATTCAGAATAGCGACAACAATGCCACGTTGCAAAACGATCGTGTATGCTGTACCAAGATAAAATTCCACACTTGCCCACTGTCCAACTGCAAAGAAACGGCGAGCGGTTTTTGATCGTTTCCGAGCCAGACGAGGGCGTACGAGCTTCAGATGCCTACAGGTAACAGCAGCGTCACCTGCGCCACGTAGTCTCCTCGGTAGAAGGGTGTAACAATGGAGTGTACTACACTCCGCCATTCAACAGTTATGACACGATGAGTAATCTACAGAGGCAGTTCTTTTATTGTTATATGTCTGCAATGGACTGTGTTATGTGTGTGTGTGTGTGCAGTGGTAATAGTCTGCCAGTTTAAACCACATACGTACGCTCCAGAGTACAAGAGGATTGCAACCAACAAAACAAAAACAACAATCAATAATCGCCACAACTTTGTTTGCCCAAGGCAAACCTGTTGGTTACCATAATGCAAATGCGATTAGAAATTATAATGCATGAAGCAGCATTGTTTTTGGAAGCAAGCAGCCGGGCACGTGTTGCGCGAAAGCCTGGTTGTGGAATGGACTTAGCTTAGCGCTGTTCACCTGTGCCCAGTCCTACGGTATGTGGTTTATGGTTAAGTGACACGGTTTTGTGTCGTTCACCGTACACGCTTATTGGAGCAGAGCATGTTTGGACACAGATGTTACTTCCATCCTCCACAAGTACTTCATGTTGTTCATTTGACTGCTGACAATGGTGATGGAGCTCCTGTGGTCACGTCCAGGGTCTTTGATCGTTGAGTTAACGGCACTAGGACCATAAACCATATGAATTAAAGGCAGATGATGGTGCAATCGCGTGCGCAATAATAAAATTCATGCCCATCCCTCAGTATACAATGCAAGCACACTAAGAAAGTCAAATGAATGGGCGCATAGCTTCTGGTTGCTTAGTGGTGAGCAATCCGTGTCTAAACCTGGGTCGTGAGCCGTGAATATGGGCCGTTGGCACCACACCATCCCACCGCGTAGCGTAGCCTTCGCATACCCCCTTTCCCCCCACTCTCCGCCTCCCCTCCATTCTTCTCTCCCATTTTACATTCAGCTGGAGTGACAATTTCGCACTCAAGGGGTGAAAAACGTCACAGCAGGACAGAGGGGGCAAGCCAGACAGAGGGAAGACATCATGCACAGCAGTGCATGAAGCTGACACGGCAGTGCATGAAGCTGACACGGCAGTGCATGTGCATGAAGCTGACACGGCAATGCATGAAGCTGACACGGCAGTGCAAGCCACACGCCAACAGAGGCACACTACCAACCAGAGGAAGCACAGCATGCACGCACCAGTGAGGTGAGCCTGCTGGTAGTCCTGCCAGCTGAGCGGAGGAAGGCGAGCACGCGGTGCTGAAGGGGGGGAAAGGGAAGGGGAGGGGAGGAGGAGAGAGAGAGAGAGGTGGGTTTAGAGAGGGGAGAGGGGAGGAAGAGGGGGGGAAGGCGTGGCGTTTCTAACGTACCTTAGAAACACGTGCTTCTGATGTTAAGCATTCGGTGTGCCATTGGTATGTTGAACACAGCGAGATCTGATATTGCGCTTCTAATAGCAGCCCGAATCGCGCGAATTCGTCGCGCGTTGATGTTCCGAATCTTACGAATTTGTTCTCTGGCAGCGTCAAGTCAGACGGGATCGTCCGACGACGAGTCCGACGGGATCGCTGCCATCGTCGCGTAAGCCGCTTCCGCGTCGCACTCTTGTAACTGCACCGCACGGGCAATAGCATTATAGTAGAGGGGGAGGAACAGAAATAGCATTATTACCCGACACTTCTGACTCTTATTCGACTCCCCCCGCGTCGGCTGCACATCCCCCGCGGAAAATTCAGCAGAGTCGACTTCCCAGCCCCGTCTTGCCCCGACTGTCTGTGGCACAGTCGCGACCCTTGTCCCCACATCAACCACCGAAAACGCGAAATTCGGCCGGCTGGGACAGGAGAAGGAAACTTCCTTCAGCTGGAGCAGAGGCGGCGTTAGTTCGGTAGGTTCGGGAAAATGGAATTCGTAGGCGAAGTCTCGCCAAATCTTGGGTGCTTCGGCTGGTGTGTCGACGTCTGCGTCTCCTGCTGAGCTGGCGCAATTTTGCCGCCATTCTGATCCTCTTTGTGTGTGTTGAACTTGGCCTGTCGGGGGGGTCAAATCACCGCGATCCAAGCTTCGATCCAGATCCGAATGAAAGCGTCTAGCCGTGTAGAATGTAGAATCAGACGCCTAACCGTCTCCGGAATCTCTCCCGGAGGCGGCGGTGCGTGCGAAAGTGACAGGAGAGATCTGGCGAGCAAAGCGAACTGCTGCCTGTGGTTGTAGTAGGCGCGTTAGCCTGGGCGACGCGAGCGACTGCAAATCCCCTGGGGTCGCAATTGTGTGTCTGATGAGAAACGCGCTAAAACGACGCGACTTAGTTCGGTGCTCGCACCACAGGCTTCAAGCTGCGAAGATCTCACTGCACTAAGGTAGGTAAGTGAACCACTCCGACGGTGAAGCTCTTGGTGTGTTGTCCTAGTGCAATGCTTTCTGGAGTGATCTCTTCGAATTCGAAGGAATTGGTTCAGGAGGCCCTAATGTCCTCGCGATTCCCGAAGGATGCGGTTCAGGAGTGACGCACTGTAGCAAACTGACGGTTCAGGTCTCTGGCTTGACGGTACCATTTGATTGGAGGCGGGGTTCGAACGCACTGTGCAATCTGAGGCAATGGTTGGAAATTCGTAGGACACGTGTACAGTGAGTCCAGCGTGACTTCAATCGTAGGACACGTGCCTTAGAGCCCAAAGTGCTGGATGACTGGCGGACAACTTGTCCAGCTTGAACAGTGTCAAACACCATAGCAACTGGGTCAACTGGAGTAGCGCCCATGGAAATGTGCGTCGAAACCTCATTGGTGAGGGACAAGAAGGCGCTGTGCGATTGATGAACGTGCAGAAATGTCAGTCGCAACACCAATGTGCAACCCGAACACCGACGTGTTGGGCAGCGATTTGTGGAGCATCGTGGAGTGCAGATTTTGATTGGCTGAGAGCGAATTGTCAGGTTTGTCGAAGCAACAATGTCGGTTGGATGGTTTGCGCTGCGCCTGCGACTCTGGGCGAACGCGTTTCCGATGATTTTGATAGGCCGAAATTATTGAGACGAACTCAAAACTCACACACGGGTGTCAGATACGGATAAGATTGACGGCAAAACAGTCGCATGCAGGCAAGTGACCTGGCAAGACCACATGGCCGCGTGTCTGAAGTTAAACGTTGACGGATGTACATTATCGTCCAGGAATGTCGGCGAACGTCAGCCCTCCGATCAAGCATTCCGACCGTCAAGATTCTTCGACATCTCAAAGTTTCGTCATGAAACGTCGACGTTCACTCTAGACACGCACTTTCCTCATCGCAGACATAACATATGTATCAAGGTGGTCAAACGGATTCGTTACTACGACATGCAGTCGCGTGTAACCTGTGGTTGTTAGTAACCACATGGAATGCCTTGTATGTCGTATTGTCCTTATATTCCCTATTACATGAGGGCTAATAACCGTGTGTAGATAATTAATTTCGGTTTTGAAGTGATGGAATGGAAAAACAATTAGCTATAAGCCTAACAATCACCATAAGGCAAAGAGACATACTGTGATACTTTTATTCGCATTTTTGGTTATTTAGGTTGTGTACATTTCTCAGATTTGTAGCAAGGTTCATGGTTTGTTATTTAGCAAATGTACATTTCTCAGATCTGTAACATGGTTCATGACTGGGAGGGAGAAGCAAAAAATGCAGGGGGCAAGCAAGAGACGCAAGTGCTTGCGAGCGAGAGAGGCGGAGGACCTGCAGAGAGGCAGGTACGCGGGGGAAAGGGGCGGGAGAAGCAGCTTCGCTGGGGGAAGTGGAGAATATAGATGTACACTGCGTACGGGGCGATACGAGGTGGGCTGGGGCGAGAGTCGATAGAACCCATTTTACAGTCCCGTTAAAGTCCAGATTCGTCGTACACTCACAGAGTAAGTATGGAATATCAAAAGAGGTACAGCTTCAAAAGGGCTGAATAACCAGAAATCAATAATTAAAAACAATAGGTACACCCAAATATACAAAATATTATAACACATGCCCTCATCTCATGTTTACACAGCAGTTTAGACAACGGAAGACACAATTACTCCATAACCTCATGGTACCTGATACCAATTAAGATGTTTTTTTGTGTACAACCTAACAAGTGTAGAAACATTCGCAGATCAATCTTATTCGACAGGGATTCGGACTATTCTAATCGTATTCGTATCGTACGTGGGTCTGTATTCGGCCAAATAAGAATTCACGTACTATTCGACAAATATTCGAATAAACTATTCGTATTCGTATTCGTATTTACAGGCCACACCGACCGTAACGGCACCAGCAGGAGCAGCAGCAGTAGCAGCAGCGACGGCAGCAACAGCAGCAGCGCCACCTCCATTGGCACGAACTGCATCTGCAAGCGACTTGTCAGTGCCTCCTTTGAACCTCTCAAACCCACCGCACCGCACCGCTCCCATCCACCCTCTCTGCATTGCCCTTCCGCCCTCCTCCATTCCCTTTCCATGTTCCGTCCTTCTCCTTTCATTTTTCTTGCACCTCTTCTCCACCTCTCCCCACCCTCTCTCTCTTCCCCACCTCTCCCCACCCTCTCCCTCTTCTCCACCTCTCGCCACCCTCTCCCTCTTCTCCACCTCTCCCCACCCTCTCCCTCTTCTCCACCTCTCCCCACCCTCTCCCTCTTCTCCACCTCTCCCCACCCTCTCCCTCTTCTCCACCTCTCCCCACCCCACCCTCTCTCTCTTCCCCACCTCTCCCCACCCTCTCCCTCTTCTCCACCTCTCCCCACCCTCTCCCTCTTCTCCACCTCTCCCCACCCTCTCCCTCTCCCCCACCTCTCCCCACCCTCTCCCTCTTCCCCACCTCTCCCCACCCTCTCCCTCTCCCCCACCTCTCCCCACCCTCTCCCTCTTCCCCACCTCTCCCCACCCTCTCCCTCTCCCCCACCTCTCCCCACCCTCTCCCTCTTCCCCACCTCTCCCCACCCTCTCCCTCTCCCCCACCTCTCCCCACCCTCTCCCTCTTCCCCACCTCTCCCCGCCGTCTCTGCCTTGCCTGTTTCTCCTCTTTCCCAGCATACCACTGCTCATTACCGCAGTTCACCCCCGTAAGATACCAGTTTCTCTCATGCTCCTCATGTTTTTCCTCCCTCAGTTACCACCTCCCTGATGTACCACCTCGCTCAGATACCACCTCTCTTACCACCTTCCTCAGATACCACCTCTCTTACCACCTTCCTCAGATACCACCTCTCTTACCACCTTCCTCAGATACCACCTCCCTGTCTGTCTCTGTTGCTTGCCATTGAGCAGGCCGTGGGCATGGAAGAAGATGTTGATGAGCTGATTCTCCTTAGGTACCACCACCTCCCTCAGATATCACCTCCCTCACATACCACCTGCCGGCCTCTTTCTCATCTCACTGAGCAGGGAGGACGTGGAAGAGGAAGCGGAGGAGCTGATGCTCCGCCAAGCCATCTGGCTCTCCCTGCAAGTAAGAACGCATCTGCCTCTCCCTGCAAGTAAGAACGCATCTGCCTCTCGCTGCAAGTAGGATCTTGGCACTCTTGCTCTCCAATTTTTGAGTTGACACAAAAATCGTCAGGTTCCGAAAGTAAGAGATTGGACTCCTTCCACTCCTTCCTTCCTTCCAGCGTCTCCCTTTGGGTCGACTCAAAAATCACCTCGTGCAACCCCTTCTAACACTCCTTTTGTAGCAAAGCAACCTACCCTGTTTTCATGAGAAAGGTTGTTCTTTTAGGAAGCTTTTCTTTATATGGGCTTTTTCTCAAAACAGCCTACCATCCTTTCAATCTATTCCGACACCTCTTTAAAAATCGATTTTAAGAGTTGTTTTGCTTTGAGTCGATCCCCCCAAGGGCCACGTCGTCCTCATCCTTGCTCTTTGTTGCTCTATGTTTTGCTCTTTCGTTTCCCTCTCCCCTCTCCACCCTCCCCGTTCCGCCCTCCCAGCCGCATTACCAACAGCATCAGCAGCAGCACCAGCACCAGCTTCAGCAGTATCAGCAGCGAAGTCAGGTGGCATCGACTGGAGCTGCAGCAGGAGCGCCAGAGGCAATGCCAGCACATGCAGAGCAGCAGCAGGAGCAGGAGCAGCGGTACATGCATTCGACTTTGGCTGCAGCAGCTTCAGAAGCACAAAGGGCAGCGCAAAGGGCAGCACAGAGGGCTGCACAAGCAGCAGCCCGCAGGGACGAGCAGCAACGTCGGCTCATAGAGGAGCAACGTCGGGTCATAGACGAGCAACGTCGGCTCTTAGACAGAGTTTTAGCAGAAGCACGGGCAAAAGCGCCAACGGCGGCAGCACGCAGGGATGAGCAGCAGTGTCGGCTTTCAGACGAGCAGAGAGCTTCAGCTGCAGCAGCTGCAGAAGCACGGGCAACAACACAAAGGCCTCCTCCTGGTTCTGCAGCATCTAGGCCTTCTGATGCTGCAGCATCGTCTTTTGAGTCGACTAAAAAATCAGCTGCAGAAGCACGGGCAACAGCACTAGGGCCTCCTCCTGGTTCTGCAGCATCTAGGCCTTCTGGGCCTTCTGATGCCGCAGCATCGTCGTCCGCACCTGTGCTTTCGACTGCTCCTGCTCCTGCTCCTGCTCCTGCTCCTGCTCCTGCTCCTGCTCCTGCTCCTGCTCCTGCTCCCGCTGCTGCTCCTGCTCCTGCTCCTCCTGCCCCTGCACCTGCACCCGCACCTGCACCTGCTCCTGCTCTTGCTCCCCCATGTGCACTTGTGCTTGCACCGGCATGTGCATCCCTGGCGCCATTGGGAATGCCTCTATCAGTGCCGGATGATTTCGAGGAGCAGATGAATCTGGCAATCGCCATTTCTCTTATGGAAGAAGAGCAGAGGGCAGCAGCAGACAGGGCCGGTGGTCGCAGCGCTAACAGTGCTGGCGGGGGTGGCAGTGGTAGTGGCGGTGGTGGTGGCAGTGGTGGTGGCAGTGAGGGTGAGAGTGGGGGTGACAGTGGGGGTGAGAGTGGGGATGAGAGTGGGGATGACAGTGGGGGTGAGAGTGGGGGAGAGAGTGGGAGTGAGAGTGGGGATGAGAGTGTGGGTGAGAGTGGGGGTGAGAGTGTGGGTGAGAGTGTGGGTGAGAGTGGGGGTGAGAGTGGGGGTGACAGTGGGGGTGACAGTGGGGGTGAGGATGCGAGCAGAGAGGAGCGCTGAGGAGCAGGCTTCAAGCCTAGCGGCGGTAGTGGCTGTCTGCTTTTTGCAAGTGCAATGTAAATATCCACAACTTAGGGTGGACAATGGACATGTACTGTACGGTACTGGAATATTTCCCTACGACTCAGCTTCTCCTACAAAGCCCACAAGCCAGCGATGCGAGCAGGAAGGAAGGAAGTCTGACTTTACCGACGACTCTTAAGTTGACCAGCCCTTACTGTCCTAGAATTCTCTTTTGAGAGCGATGTTAGGGCGTGGAACATCTGGGAGTTTTTACAAACGAATGGTACGGTTCGGAAGAGAACTCACCGCCCCTGTCAGAGTGCAGGCGCAGGACTAGAAGGTCCCGCCGAAACCGCTCGCGCAGCTGGTGACGAGTAGCGCGGATCCAGGGGATTAAAACACCGCCGACATCCGCCTTGCTGCGCAAGGGGAAGACCATGGTGTAGCGCGTGTAGTCGTCAACGACCAGCAGGAAGTAGCGCTCCTTGTCCGTCCCACTGACGCGGGCGGGGCCCCACACATCCATGTGGAGAGTCTGTAGTGGAGCAGTGGTCGGAGGAAACGAGGAGGAGTGAGGAGCGGCGCGCTACCGCCCCTCGGGCACGGCGGGGCAAGCAAGCGCGGGAGGGGGGGCAGGGACCTGGGAGCTATCATCAGCTCGAAGCTCATAATGTATAAATTTTAGAGAGCAGGGATATTGTAGCAAAGCTCTTACCGTAAATAGGCCGGCATAGAAGAAGCACAGCCCAGGGAACCTGTGATCGCAAATCAAGCCCTTGCCTGTTTCTATTGCAAGCTCATCGAGGCAGCATCGAGCACAGCAGCTCCGCACCGCACCCAAGCATCCGCGCCTCACGCTAGCATCCGCGCCTCGGCGCGCAAACGCTCTCGCGCAGCCATGGCCGTGAGACTTGCGCCGCGCTATGCGGGCCGTGACGAACCGAGCGACGACCTCGACGAGTGCCCCATTTGCTTCTTGGTACGTCGTAGGGTTCGTTTCGTCGCAGGGGCCGTTTCGTCGCAGGGGCCGTTTCGTCGCACGGCTCGTTTCGTCGCAGGGGCCGTTTTGTCGCACGGTTCGTTTCGTTCGTGCTTTGAACGACTCCTCGCTGCACGACTCGTGGTTTTTTTTGTCCACCTTCCATTCGAAATATCTATTCATAGTCTAGTTTTGAGGCGCCTCAAAACTAGTTCAATAAGTATATGTCACCGTTTCCGCCAGAACGCCAAACGTTCGCTTGTCTTGTCCCATGCACCCACCTTCCTTTGCTCCAGAACTATCCCAGTCTCAACACGTCACGATTCTGCGTAGTCGATCTGTTATGATGAGACATCTCTAAACGACCAACATCCCACCCACCCGCCTTCCCTTGCTCCAGCACTACCCCAGCCTGAACAGTCGCGATGCTGCAAGGAAGGTGTGAGTCGACTCAAAACACGCCAAATCTTTGCCTCTCTTGTCTTGTCCCACCCGCCTTCCCTCACTCCAGCACTATCCCAGCCTCAACACATCACGCTGCTGCAAGAAACGGCTGTGCACCGGTGGGTAGTTGCTCTGCTGAACTGAACCTCAAGCCTCGGTTCTTGTTTCATAGTTGGCCCTTCCGATGTTAAGTGTGCAGCATGCACGCCCATGCCAGTGCGCTGCTGCATGCAAGCCCCCCTCCTCTCTCCGTGCCAGTCTCTCGTTTGCTCTCCTTTCCTCACATCTATTTTCTGCCTCTCTCCGCTTGCCCATGTCCCATGCAGACTGCTTCATCCGCATGGCAAACTCTATACAATGCGCCCTCTGGTAATGTTCTGCTTGCCTCGCCCTGCATTCCTTCTTGCCTTCACCACCTCACCTCACCTCACCGTTAAAATGCGATTCGTTCTGGCTCGCTGTGTAGTGCACCACACACAGTACGTGACATGCAGCCGTGTGTGACATGCAGCCGTGTGTGACATGCAGCCGTGTGTGACATGCAGCCGTGTGTGACACATACTTGCCTCCCTCGTCGCCCCTCCTTTCAACCCTCGCAGCTGCCCATTCTGCAGCACAGATTCTAAAAGGCGTGGCTAAACCCTTCCCTGTCGCCCCTCACCTCACCCCTCGCAGCTGTCCCTTTTGCAACGCGGAGGCATTCTCTGTGGAGCATCGAGGCAAGCGCTCAGCAGCGGAGAGACACGCCGACCTGCAGGTGCGCTCCTGTTGCTGCTGCTGCTGCTGCTGTTATTCCTGCTCTTGCTCCTTCGCCTGCTGCTCTTTCTCTTGCGCTTGCTTCTGCTCTTGCTGCCGATGGTTTGAAATGGCTAAGAGCTGCCTTCAGACCCACCCCTCTCATCGCCCCTCCCAATCCCCCTCCTCCTCCCCCTCCCGCTCCCCCGCTCCCCTTTTTTTGTTTCATCCCCTTTTTTTTGTTTCATCCCCTTCCCTTTCCCTTGCCCATGGGTCAGGAGGAGCAGAGGGCAGTGGAGGCGATGATAAGAATGCAGGTTGAGGCCGCAGGGGCGCACTTAGCACGGCTGGCTGGCCAAACATCAGCAGCAGCAGCAGCAGCAGTAGTAGAAGCAGCAGCAGCAGCAGCAGAAGCAGGAGCAGCGACACCAGCATTGGCACGGACCGTATCTGCAAACGACTTGTCAGAGCCTGCACCCTCGTTGCCTTGCCTTTCTGCCATCCTTCTCCACTGCATGTGTTGCCCTCCTCGCCTTCCCCTTTCCGTTTGTTTGTCCTTCTCATTTCGATTTCCTTGTCACCTCCTTATCCTACTACCTTTCCCTTCCATTGAGCAAACTTTCCCACCCTTCCGTACCTCTCCCAGTTTCTCCCTACCGCTCCGCACCTCTCCACTGGGTATGGTTGTCCACTTTCTCCGTGTCACTCACTCACTCCTTATTGGAGCAATCACTATCCGCATATCACCGCTTACCACCGCGTACCACCTCCTCAGGTACCACCTCTCGCATCGCAGATACCACCTCGTTGTCTGCCTGCCTCTGTCTCATGCCATTGAGCAGAGAGGACATGCGAGAGAATACAGAGGGGCTGATGCTCTTCAAATACCACCTCCCCCGCATATCACCTCCTTCACTTGCAACCTGTCTTCCTCGTTCTCTCACCCCACTGAGCAGAGCGGAGGACATGGAAGAGGAAGCAGAGGAGCTGATGCTCAGCCAAGCCATCCATCTCCCTCCTCAGATGCTACCTCCCTCAAATGCCACCTGTTTTTTTTCTCGTTCTCTCACTCCACTGAGCAGAGAGGATGAGGACATGGAAGAGGAAGCAGAGGAGCTGATGCTCAGCCAAGCCATCTGGCTCTCTCTGCAAGTAAGAACCGTCACTCACTCTGTTGTTGAGCCATTTGCTCTGGCGCTCTATCTATTGTTGAGTCGACTCAAAACTCGTCTGTCTTACCCTGCAGGTAGGAGCTTGCCATTCTCGCACTCTGTTTTTGTTTAGGTCTCAAAAAGTGGTTTGTAATTTCTTGCAAGAGCGAGCTCACACCATTGCAACCCCTTTCAACGACTTCTTTTCACCAAGCTACCCTGTTTTCCTCGAGAAAGGTTGGTTGTTGAGACTTTTAACCAAATCACCAGCTTGCCATTCTCTGGCAATTCGTTCCCATGCCTCTGTAACAATCGCTTCTCGCACGCCGTTCTCATCCTTGCTCTTCCTTGGTCTCCCTTTCGTACCTAACTCCCCTCTCCCAACAGCACCAGCAGCAGCATCAGCAGCATCAGCAGCACCAGAATCACCAGCAGAATCAGCAGCAGAATCAGCAGCAGAATCAGCAGCGTCAGCAGCAGTCAAGACAGGGGGGCTCAACTGGAGGAGCAATAGGAGGGCCAGTGACAGTGCCACTGGCAGCACACGTAGCAGCGGACAGGTTAGCACGATTGTCAACACGAGTGCCAGCACTGGTATCAACATGGGCATCAGCAGAAGGGATGGGCCAGATGCACCCGCAGCAGCAGCAGCAGCATCACCATCAGCAGCAGCACCAGCACCAGCATCAGCATGACCATCAGCAGCAGCAGCATCAGCAGCACCAGCATCAGCATCACCACCACCACCAGCAGCAGCATCAGCAGCATCAGCATCAGCGGCACGTGCAGCCGTCCTTAACTGCAGCAGCTGCAGAAGCACGAGCAGCGGCACAACGGGCAGCACGAGAAGCACGACACAGGGAAGAGCAGCAGCGGCGGGTTTTACTCGAGCGGAGAGCTTTAGCAGAAGCACGGGCAGAAGCACGGGCGAAAGCACAAAGGGCAGCACGCAGGCAAGAGCAGCAGCGCCGGCTTGCAAACGAGCAGAGGGCCTTAGCTGCAGCAGCTGCTGAAGCACGGACATCAAGACAAGGGACCTGTGCTGCATCTTCATCTGCACCTGTGCTTTCGACTGCACATGCACATGCTCACGCACATGCTCATGCTCATGCACATGCAGATGCGTCCCCATCGCTTGCGCCGATGGGAGTGCCTCTATCAGTGCCGGATGATTTCGAGGAGCAGATGAATCTGGCAGTTGCCCTTTCCCTCATGGAGGCCGAACAGAGGGCAGCAATCAGTGGGGGTGCTAGTGGCAGTGGCAGTGGTAGCGAGTGGTAGTAATGACAACCGTTTCACCAATGGGAGCAGGTGAATCTGGCAGTCGCCATTTCCCTCATGGAGGCCGAGCAGAGGGCAACACTCAGTGGTGGTGATGGTCGTGGTCGTGGTCGTGGTGGTGGTGCTAGTGGCAGTGGCAGTGGCAGTGGTAGTGATGATTATCATTTTCCCTACAGGAGCAGATGAGTCTGGCAGTTGCCATTTCTCTCATGGAGGCGGAACAGAGGGCAGCACTCAGTGGTGGGGGTGGTGGGGGTGCCAGTGGCAGTGACAGTGAGTGGTAGTAATGACGACCGTTTCACTGATGGGAGCAGATGGGGTCTGGCGGTTGTCATTTCCCTCATGGAGGCCGAACAGAGGGCAGCACTCAGTGGGGGTGGGGATGGTAGTGGTGGGGGTGGGGGTGC